TAAGAATGATCTTTTGCGGAAGACCGTTCTGGTTTTTGTCACCCGCCTATACTTGGACGTTTCTTTCCAGCATCCTTCCGAGGTGGCAACAATGAGTGGCGAGTGACACGATTGATGAATCTTTTCTCATTCACTTGTTTTTTCGTTCATTCATCTTATAAAAGCACTGGGTATTGATTTCTTTCCAGTGCCCTCTTGTTTACTATTGAATGAGGGAAGGATGCTCATTCGTGTATTCCTTTATTAGTCAATGCTGCCACTGTATTTTTCTCATTCTAAGATTCCTGTGATTTATGAACAATATCCATGGCAGATGAAGCGCCCTTGGAGAACAGGCTTGGCCTTCTCTAATGGATTTTGCCTGGTTCACTCTTCAGAAGAACATACAGACAGAGCAGTTTCTACCCCAAAAAATCCCACTTCTAAAGCAGGCTCCCCTGCTTACCTCTCCTTTTGCAAGTGTAGCCATATGAGGGAAGGCCAATGGTCATACCACCACATACTATTATATATCAAAACCAAGGTGAAAAACCAATTTAGTGGCCTTGTAATCAAGTTGGACAATTCAATGAAAAAAATGTTTCCATAACACCTGAAGAGGATGGGACCCAGTGAAAAAGATGAAGGGGGAGAAAGGGGAGTAGGGGAGCTGGGATTTCAATATGCCATATTCTCAACCTCAAATGGTTCACTCCAACCCCACTTTCTCGAGGCAAAAGAAGTGGAAGGATGTCACCCCTAAGAGTCAAACTCCCTCTCTACAGTGCCCAGTCCATTTCATCTCCAAAGATTCAACACATATTAGGATTACATATTATGTAACTTGATGGGGGTGAGAAGGAGGTTTGACTTGATATGTATCTGCTGAAGGGCATTCTCAAATGCTTCCTCTTCCCCTTCTTCCAAAGAGCTCAGGGAAAGGAAATTCTAGATTGGGCTTCAAAGTTTGGGCCTTGTGAGTTGGGTCACTTGGAAAAAATCACATTTTTGTACAGCATGCTGGTGTGCCAGACAGCCTCCTTGCCAGCAGGCATGGACAGGGCAGCACGGTCAGCTTCACAAAAACATATTGCAGCTTATCACACACATTTTGGGAGCTTGCAAGAACCCCAAAAATTGGGTGCCCCCAACCATCTAAACAAAAGTAAGTAAATTAATGAAGATGTGATTACATGAAGGTAGAAATTTGGTGCATTGGGATTCCAAATGGAAAGGGAAGAAATTCAATAGAAAATTAACTGACAGCACACAATTATTTTAATGTTGAGAGGTTTTTTCTTCTGCATGTCATGATTCAAATTATGTACCCATACGGACATAATTTGAGGAATTTCTAATGGTCGGCTCAAAACCAACCCCATTGGCTCAATGTTTCCAAAAGCCAATTTTGAATGTGATAAGTGTGTGTGTTTGTGTCTATACATTTATTTATTTATATATATTAAAAATGTGTGTATATGTGTCCACTGCTGGAAGGTGGCTGACTGGAAGAGAATTTGAGAGTAGTTGGTCAAAGCCAACACTCTCTGTTGGAATTCATCAGAGATAATGACAATGATGTCTTATATATATATATATATATATATTTATATGAAACTGAATATCCTCTTTGTTATTTTCCTTGTATTCTCCTTTATTCTATTTCCATAAAAAGATTTTCTGTTGCTGGATTTCAGTGGCTTGTCTGGAGTTCCTACCACACTCCGTGGGCCTTGCAGATCCATATCACATTGTTTGTGCTAATTGGATGCTAAACCAATGGATAACGGCGCGTTCATCCATCTGTCCATTCATCAATTCACTCTTTCTAGAACCACATGCTTTGTACCTGGTGAACACATCCATCTCAACACAACCAATTATCGTGTTTGCAGTATCTGTATGCACACTAAATTGCACATATTCATAAATTCATTGAGTAAAAGGATAAAACTTTCTCTTTTTTCATTTTCAGTTACAAAATTTGCAATTGATGATTTTACAAGGTCAAATGTAAAAATAAACAAAACTAATAAATGGTAGCAAATTTCAAGGATATATATATATATATATATATATATATATAAATAATAAAAAATTAATCTCTTTCAAGTGGGTATTTTTTTTCTTTTATTTTTTTTTATTCAAAATTAAAACTTAAGAATCTATGATGGATAAGAATTCAAATATAATTATATTACAGCCAACAATGATACAGTCATAACACCAGCATCACACATTCATTCAATTGAAATGAAAGATGAGGACCATCTTTCCAACCGTTGATTTCTTGTGAGTCCTTCGGCACCTTGAGGCCCTGTAACCATTGTCATGCTTGAAGCCACTTGCAGTCATCCTTTCTTTTGTTGCAACTATATACACATAAGAAATTTTTTAAAAAATATGTAATTGAGAGTAATCTAGGACAAGATTTACATTAATTCAATCTACAGTCACTACATAGTATCATTTAGCCAAAGACAATCTTAACATATTGACTATTTGATGCTTTTGTGTTATAAAAATTTAAATTTTGGTAAGTACAGAAAGTCAGGCTGATTGTTAAATTAAGCTTTTTGGAAAGAAAATGTTATATATATAGAATATATATATACGTTATAATGTTATATATATAGAATTTTATAGTTATCATATATGATATTGGAAAAAATTATCAACTAAATGAAAGCATTGCTATCAATTTTGTATTTATGGAACTTTAATAAGATCTAAAATTTAGAGTTTTGCTTCCATAAATATAATGCTTCATTGAAACATGCTAGGAAGATTTCTTTTTACTACCTTGAACAAAAATATTCTTGTAGTAAAAACTTGTAATTTTACATTGAAAACATGAAATTTTTATCATTGATTATTTTTTAGACTTATTGATGTCCATATCCTTTCAATTTTGACATTCCATAATAGCATTTTTTAAAAAAACAACTTATGTGTGATTGTTTGATGACACCTTACTAAATAGGAACTGTATATTTTTTTTATTTTGAGAAATGAACCATAGTATCACAAATCACATATTCCATATAATAATTATTCAATTAAAAAATAAATTTCATGCAAAAATCAGTACAATGTAGACACAATAAAGTGTCATTGCTATTTCATTAATCTATGCTAATTTATTATGAAAAAAGGATAGGATTTTGGTTGATGACTATTTCTCTGTTGTAACATCAATACAAATAAGAAAAAGTTAAAGTGTAATCTTTTTCTGCACAAAGTTTAAAGCCTACATATTTTGCAGAAACAGCAACTTTAAAACATGAATCATCATTTCTTATTTTTATTTTTTATAAACTTGTGTAAAACTCCATATATATATATATATATATATATATATGTTTGTGACTTGTTATGATGAATAAATAAAAATTCCTTGGCAAATTATTAGTAAACAGAACCAACACAAGCACACCACTGATACAAGTAAATGATAGGGAAGGATAGGTTTTGATTGAATGATTTATTGATTTAGTTTTATTTATATCTTTCTGGGCGTTAAAATCATTTATATTCAAGCAAAACATCCAGTAGAATTTAAATGAGTTTATGAAGTGTCTGCTCCACAAATTGAGAAAAGTTGTAGAAAAAAAATCTATACAAATATGAGACAAAAAGATCCACATTTTCTTTCTTGTGTTGAAAACACCTCAAAAGCTATGAGAGATAAGATATTGTAGTACCTGTAATTTGCGGGGAAAGAGCATAGTTCTACATGTTAATCCTTTGTCTTTCCACCCCTAAACATGATTAGAAATGGAGAGACCCTGGCTGGAAGCATTCTTATCTTTTTGCTGGTTTAGGAGCATCTCCTCTTGATTTTCTGGAGTACAATGTAATATGATGGTCCTAGGAATATTATGATACTACAGTGACATAAAACTACAGTGACAAGGGAAGAAGAATATGAGGGTTAAGTAATTGCGACAAGGGTTGGGGAATTCAGGGTTACCCAGCATAGCAAAAGGAAAAATGTGTGGGGAATGGTGGGCAGAGGTGGTAGTATTGTAGCATGTTTAGTGCAGAAGAGCTATTCCAAAGCACAACTGCAGTCATTCTTGTATGCGTTGACAAACCACATGCCAAAGGGAAAATATCTTCTAACAAACATACAGACATAAATTAACATGGTCCTGTGGTGGTAGTGAGGTGGGGGAGGAGGATTCATTGCCTTGGAAAGTTGACATTCTCTTGACCTGCTACAGTCATTCTGTCTCAACCCCAACCCCAAAAACTACAACAGATACAACCACACCAGCAAGTTTATTATTAACCTTTTGTTGGGGAAGCTATATGCACAAACAAAGCCCACTTGGGGCCAAAAGGGAGGTGAGCAATAAAGAGTGGAGAAGCATAGTGAGAATGAGGAAAGCATGCTTTTGAAGGAAAACAGGCAGGCAGTAACTAAACAGGAGGTTGCCCACAGTCACCCAGAGACCAAGGCCTTGCCAGTTCTCTAAGGAACCTGGGACTGCATGGGTTGGATGATGAGGGGAGTAAAGGAGTAAAGAACAGGAGGAGGAGGAAGAAGAAGCACCTAGCAAAGAATCAAGGAAAGATGCAAAGGGAATGCTAAAAAAAGAACCAATCCAAAAAAATCTGGCTGGATTCCCCAAATCAAGCCATGCGAGTAAAATTGTTGGCACCCCCCCCCCCTCTCTCTCTATTCAGCAGCTGTGCTGCGTAAGCTGCCTGCTGCGGTGCGTGCAATGGGGTCAGGCCCTGACGCAGACGCAGACGCAGAGGGAGGGAGGGAGGGAGGTGGGGAGAGGCGGTCCTTTCCCCCCCTCCCCGACGCAGCGAGCGAGGAGGAGCAGCAGCAGGGAGGGTGAGGGTGAGGGAGGGCGCAAACTTATTCGAGGGGGTCAGCCCGAAGTGAAAATTCAAAAATATTAATATTCGACCTGGCTGCCCAGGTCGCTATAGACCGGCCTAGACCAAGTTAGCTACATAGGCGTGCTCTCGGCTATAGACTAGGCAGGCTGGCCTACCATGACCCGCAATCCTCCCTTCCCGAGGCCGCGATGCGCGATCACGAGAGGGCGAGCTAGCGGGAGTGGACGGACATGGTGTTTGGCTCCTGCGACGATGGCACTCCAATTTTATTGTTATTTTTTCGAAAATCTTTTCGTTTTTTACAGTCCAGCGTAGTCGTTCAGATCAGTTGGCCACCTGTGCCGCCGATCCCACAATCCAAGTTCCATAACAAAAGGACCCGCTCGTGCCGCCCAATTTCACTTTTCTAACAACACTACATTACCTCGCAGCTTGTGGCAACCTTGTTCAGTGTGATCGTCCCTTTAACACCTGTTGTATCCCATCCCATCCCATCCCTATCTCCCATCTTCATCTCCTGCCCCGCTCGCTCTTCCCCTCTTCTCCACTTGTGATCATTGAGTGAGTTTCTGTGTGAGTTTCTGAAATCATCATTCAGGGTTTCCCGACCTGCTTGTCTAGAGTTTGTCGGAAGTAAGAGGAAGCTGTGTTAGCTGTATCTGTGAAGAACGTCGTCGGTCGCGTGGTGTTGTAACAAAAAGTCGATTTTGAGTTCATGTGGTGAGAGGAGGCTTGCGCCTGACGCGATCAAACTTACGGCTCGAGCGTAGGAGCGCATCTCTAGTATAGTCGCGTTGGGGTGGGTTGTCTTCGCTTGCGTCTCGGAGTTTGTGGTACGTGTCGAGGTTAGAGAGGGTGTGCGAGGGGTCCGCATCAAGCTGTGCCATCTCGCGAGGCGGTCAGTGCCAGTGCGAGAGGATAGCATTTTGATTGAGTGAAATTTACCGAGCACTCCCTGGGTACGTGATTCACAAAGAGTGTCTGTTAGGAACGGAGTGAGTAGTTCAAAGGAATTGGGTGATATATTTTAGTGAGGTAGTCGGCAGGATTGCACTCGGGAGAAGAGGTCGTGAGCACAAGAGTTGAGTAAGCTGCCCTCCATGCGGTTCTCACATAAAGGTTTGTACTCATCGCCTCCCCATTGTTGCGGATTACCATGCAACTCAGGTTCGCCCAGCTGTATGTGTTTAAGACCTCGGGCAACTTGGCTTGGAAAATTGCTGTCGTCAATCCGGACTGAAAGAAGTTTATGACTAGTAGTTCAAATTATGAGATATAAGGAGACTTTTTCCGTCGATTTGCTTCTATAAAATGCGATACAATCCACTTGTCTTGTCGACTAAGCCACGACATCGTTTTGAAGAATAGAATTGCGTGAAAAAAATGAAACAGCACGGATCTTTTCATCTCTTACAAGTACTTGGATCGAGGATGTGCACTGGTCGAAAAGGTAGTCATCATCATTTGTATTAACCGTTTGTTTTTACGGAAACGCTAGTGTCGAAATCGGTGCTGGCGGTTGATTTTATCACTGTGGACGGCGAATATTACCGACTGCCGACCTTTCCGCTAGTGAAGCAAGGCTTCGAGTTAGGTTAGAGATGATCCAGTGGGTGCTTCAATAATTCCCGAAAAGCTTAAATGGGATGATGTAACGTATCACCGGCACATAATCTCGTGTTTCCTACACAAGGTTATGAACACATCTCAGGCTAGTTTTTAGAGTAATCGTCTAGAGAAAGATGAGAATGTGACGAAATGTGTTCATAACCTTGTGTAGGATACGCACAAGTTTTCAGGCTTAACAACACACATCCGCTGACAAGAGAGTATCTAATATCTGAAACCGAAGTTGAAGAAGTTTGCCACGAAATTGGTCATGATGATTGCAACCTCACCTCTTAAGTCAGTGTGCTTGTTTAGAGCAGACCTCTAATCTCAGGATGAAAGCGTTTAGTAGAAGTTCCTACAGAATAGATGATATGAAGTACAACCGCCACCAAGAAAGATCAGTTTGGAGTGTTGCGCATTGCACACGGAATTAGTTTCTCAACTATCCTTAGAAAGACTATCTCACAGAGAAGCACCGAAGCCAAGCAGAAGGTAGATGCGTGCGTGGCCACCTCAGATGACTGCTACACGAACTGCCCTGTTCTCATGATCCAACACCGGAGGAGAACAGGCTGAGTAGAAGTTATTTTCGCCTTCTACTACCATGTTAAATTCTAATGTTTTTCTTCCGCTAGCTTGCCGTCTTGAGGTGTGGGTCTTATGCCTTTGAAGGTAATCACGCCAAAACTATGATCGTGGAAGAACATGCCATGGCGATGCAAGAGAAACAATCACTAGTAGTGTGAACTCCGCCCAAACCAGTGATCGTGCGTCGGGCTGAGAATTTATCCCTGTTTGAAGTCATGACCTTGACCGGGTGATAAGTTTCTGTTTGGATCCGATGCTTGACGCACTAAACTAATCAAGATCGTTCTAGCCTTGATTCTTGGCAGCGCCTGAACTCGCTGAGTCCCCATGAGGATGCTTACAGGGCCACATTTGGTCGATGCGAGCTAGTTAGTTTTGCGACATAATTGATGTGCGACTTTTCATGTGGGTAATGTTTAGTCTTTTCTTGATGTAAGGTCGCAGTGAACTGAAAGAGAGAGGTGACTGAATGTTTTCAGGTCTATGGAAATGAGATAGTGGTTAACATTTATTGCTGTAATGCACTGCTTGATGATTTCGTATTTTGCGAATGCAGCAGACAGAGCCACGCCTCTCAAATCGGTCGCGCCCTACCAAGTCGACAAGATGAGCTACAACAACAATAACAGCAGCAATGTGGCGATTCCAGTGGGGTTCCGATTCCACCCTACGGACGAAGAATTGGTCGGATGGTATCTGCACAACAGGGTCACTGCGCCGCCACCAGAGCCCAGGGAGGACGACCAGAGGATCATCCGCGAGCTCGACCTCTACAAACATGAGCCCTGGGATCTCGCAGGTGAACAGATACTGCTTCATGATATAAAGCTTTATTTTCTGATCTCACGAGTCCAATACCTCTCTTCATTGTATCTGTACGGGAAATGTAAAGGGAATTTGCAATAGGACACGATATTGAGCTCCTGGTTCCGTTCAGATTCTCGAAACTAGCAAGATCATCACACTCAAGTGCCAACCTGAAGCACGTGCATGTACATTGTAATCCAAGGAAGAGTATTGGGCATTGCTAACTGATAGCGTCCATTGCAGAGGTATGCAAGATTCCAGGCGACCATTCCGTGAACCAGAACAACTGGTACTTCTTTAGCCATAAGGACAAGAAGTACCCCACCGGCAACCGCGCCAACCGTGCAACCAAAGCGGGGTTTTGGAAGGCCACAGGGCGGGATAAGTGCATCCAGACCAGGTATTCTGTGGGAATGCGCAAGACTCTGGTGTTCTACAAGGGCCGGGCGCCTCATGGCCAGAAGACCGACTGGATCATGCACGAGTTCCGTCTAGACGACGGCAACCAGGCATTCCGCGGTTTCGATGTACGTCGCCGTTCCACATTTCCAACCCCCTCACAGTGTTCGTGTCCCTTTCGATCAGTGTTGCATTACCAGAAAGCTTGCCTCGGAGATGCTCCCAGATTTTCTGGATAACGTTTTTCGATGTTCGTTGGTCATGGCTGCTTACACTTAGTAGAAGATCCACTTAGTTTGCTCCCTAAGGAGACTAATTGATGGGTCCTGCTGAACTCTGAGCAGAACTGCGCTTTGATTAGCGTGATCGATTATGTCCCCCGTTCTCAAGTGACTCCAACAAGGTCTTTTAGAGGATGCCTTGCTTTTCTAAACTGCAATGATTGATTGGGTTCCCGATTAAGGAAGGTATTAACAATCAGTTTCAATTTCTCTTTTGTTCTCCAGCAAGCTAACCGTGTCGTGGAAGCTCAATGGGGTGTCTACTTCCCCTTCCGCTTGGTTAAGATATCTATGTAGAATATTCCGTTGTTACATTCCTTGAAATACCTTCTGTTTGACGCCTGTAGCTCCGGTGACGACCTTTGACCATGTATACTACAGCAAGGGACTTAGAGAAAATGGCATTAATTTTATATTGATTTATATTCCAGTATGTAGGTGCTCATGAGATTGCCTGTGTTAACACTTCAAACCTCTGGCTCCAGTTGAACTTACAAGAGTCTTGTTTCCGCGTGTACAGGAGGCGGGCGCGTGGGTGGTTTGCCGCGTTTTCAGAAAGACCAAAAACATCAAGACGAAGGGTGACGATACCCCTTCAACTTCCATGGAAGAGGACCAGCACATCGCTCTGCAGCCCGACATCACCGATTCCCCGGAGAAATTTTCAAGTGATGGAGGGGAAGATGGGAGAGATGTGGACTACCCACCAACAAATATGGTTCCGAATCATATTGCCAATTACGATATGCATTGCAAGCAGGAGCTCTTCCCGGTGAACGAATTCAGGAACCTCCATCACAACCTGCCTGTGCACCTTGATAACCATGGGATTGAAGCTATATTGCCTCAGAGTGTCGCCCCTCACTCGTTGTTCAGGATCACTGCTGCCTCCACACGGTCCAACTACAGCGCTATCCACCTTCCATCGTCCGATTTCGATCAACAGATGCTGCAGCACATGGGAACAGGCTCCTCGGCTGCAGGTTTATTCTCCCCTATGCCGAACAATGCTTATCATGCGATTATCGATGATCATCCTCCGAGGCCGCACATCCGCGGAATGGGATACAGGAACAGCTCGGAAATATTGAATGGTCTTGCAGAATTTCAAAGCTTTGGTCACCCGGCTCTGCAGGGCGACCAGACGCTAACGGATGTTGTTTCCCGCCCACTGGAGCGTCTGCAGCAGTTGCAGCAGTCGACCAGCGACCTTCTTAGCACCAACTCAGTCCATGACGTGATTCACAATTTCGGAATGCCCAGTCTCTCTTGGCAAGCTCGACCTCAGAGTCACTTTGTGGAATTCTGCACCAACCCTGACTCGATTAACTCACACAGCTCAACGTTTTTGTCATCCGGGGAGTGAAGGACGTGACAGCGACGCGCCTTATCGACGCTGAAGCTGAAAGAAGAGTACATTATTATTATTCAAAGGGGGCTGGCAGGAAAAATTCTGAAGCAGCTGCAGAAGAGCAATTTTGATGATGTATCTTTAGGAGACACCAAACGGACAAACTTTGTGTTGCACTATTACAGATCCTGATCATGTTACTCCCCCTACTCTGGCCGCAAAGTTTAAGATAGCAGGCATGCAGAAAAGATAACCATGTGTTCACTCTGCATGACATTCGATCCCTGATTTGTGACTCATAGCCAGTCATGACACCCCAACTAACCTAACCAGTTAGTGTTAGAGAATCAACCACCAAGATTTTTGCTGTGTACGGCAATGTTAGAACTCTCCGAGGTAGAAGATGAGAGTGAAGGATTCATTCTGAAACAGCCATTTCAAATAAACTGTTGATAATTGTACATATATATATACACTTCACTCTGTCTTCGATAGCTCATGCTTCAAGAAAATATATTGTTCAAATGTGTTTGATACGTATTGTGTATGGTCGCTAGTCCAGCCACATGTCGACAAGTAAACCTGACATGACGAGGCTATGCTATCACTGTTATGCTCGGATGGGTTTTCACTGCAGGGATTCAGTTCCAGAGGACCAGCAGGGATAGCTACACATATTCTAGCCCAAGTCATGACCTTTCTTGACCACCAGATTGCAATGCCTGAATAACAGAAAATCTCTTTTTGTTCCTTCAGTCTCTTGTTGCGCTGCCTCCCGTCTTTGTTGAAGTTGTTACTGTGGTGCGCATTGCCACCCACCTTAGATTCTAGTAGTTGGTGATGTGCAGAGCCGATTGTTGTTGCTGTAGGTTTTATGTTGCAGGATGTTGCATTGCCACCCGCTAGTGACGTGAGGGTAGCACATGAGATATCCATACAATGCCACTATCGGGGGCTTTTCCAACAAATTCGAACAGCAGCAGCGAAATATTAATGTACAGTGAGCACATATGCAGATGTTCTCGCTTTCTAAGTTGCAGAATTTCATTTCAACATTTGACGCAGAAGATTCATAACATGATTTCATATATATAACTTTGTCACTTCCCCAACAACTCGCTCGGATCACCGTTGCTAGTCAATCCAGTTGTTTACAACTCAGTTGAGAGAGAGCGATACGCCTGAGATCTTTGCAGTGTTGGACTAAAAATTGTTGTTTATCGCGTCTTATAGAACAGTCCATTTCTAACTGAATCCAAGTGGGTCACTCCCCTCGGTCCTGGCAAAACACAGGCAACGTCACAGAAGCATCGCAGAGAAGCCTGTCAATGATGAAACCTCGCAGCTTGAAACGCAAGCTACCAACACTATGTACATGTGCATTAAGTTAAGGAGCAGTGATCGCAATGGCGGACAAATCATTGCCCTCAGTTGTCTATTCGCTGTCGAAAATTGTGTCAGGGATATTGCTTAAGGAGTTTGGGTGACGCAAAGTAATTATGTGAGTGATTTGATTCACAACCAGCAGCAGGTTTTGGGAGTCTGTAAAATGGTCACCACACAAAGACTTTGGAGTCCCTCTATTGATTGCATTGAACAGGGAAAACAAAATAATATTTGGGTGCTCCTGGGATGCACTCACACACAAACACACACACTCTCATCTTCCCTTAGTGTGGAGATCTATGCCACTGATTGCCATTCTAGTATCCCCAACAAGTCCCTGGTAACATAAAAACCTGGAAAGCAACGTATTTCCTGTTTTGTTGCCTCCTTGAAACATGTGCCACTTTTCTGGTCTTTATTCAAACGTTGTACCGGTACATAGTGTAATGCATTACAACTTTTTGGTGATCTTACACGTGTTCTTCTAAATTCTATTCTTGATTTTCTCTATACACAAATTTTGTAATACCATTGTTTAGTGACATATGTTTGATAAATGATTGTAAATGTTTACATTTCCAACACCATTTTTAGAAAATAGGCTCATATATATATATATATATACACACACATATAATATACATATACATGTACTAGTTCCCTTCCTTAGAGTTGGAAATAATAGACAAAAGCAAGAAATTGAGTTGTAATAAAGCACAACACATATTTTGCACGAATACATGTATGGATGGATATATATAAATAGACAAATAATTCTTAATGAAATGAAGAGTGCAATGGCACAAATATAAGAGCAATTACATCAACTCAATTTACTACTATAAAGAGCAATAAAAATGGCACAAAGTGAAGATATAGATATGATTGGAGTTGCTTCAACATCTGTACCAAATCATGTCCCTTCTCCTATAGAAGAACATCCTTTTCATACTAGAGAACCAAGAGTTGCCTTGCTTGAGAAGTTTGATGGCACAAAATCTAAGTTTTAAGGATTTATTAATCAAATACAATTTGAGATTGAACTTCAATTCCAAAGCTATCTAACTCCAAGATCACAAATTAGATTCATTACTACACTTCTTTTAGATTTAGTATAATCATGGTTTTCATCTTTTCTTGAAAGACGAGAACTAATACTGGATAATTTGGAGGATTTTTTGACAAAGTTTTGATCCATGTGTGGAGAACATGATGTAAATTGTGTTGCAAACAATAAGATCCATAATTTTTGAGAAGATAATCAATCCGTAATATTATATGCTTCACAATTTTGATAACTTGTAATTAATATCAAGTGACAGGATATTATACTTATTAGCCAATTTTTCTATAGTTTATAATATGAGATAAAGAAATTGATGCTCAACTTACTTGATCCTCAAACATTGAATCAAGTAATTGACTTTACTGTGAAGTGTGACAATTAATTTTTAAAATTTTGATTTGAAAATCAGACAAGTGGACCCCAACGTTACTATAATTTAATAATAACACCAATGTCTTCTCAAGATATATATTCGGAAGTAAAAAATATGTAAATTAATGCGATATGTTTCAAATCTCTTACTAAATAAGAAAAGACTCATTATCATCAAGAAGGATTGTGCTTATATTGTAAAGAATCTAAGTACACTACTCAACATTGTCCAAAGAAGTGACTCAATTATAAAATGAAGAGTACAAATGTCAAAGAAGATAATATATTGGAAAACGAGTTTGTGTAGCTATAATAGGTATTGTGTGGATGGAACCTTATAAAATATCTAATGAAGGTCCTATTCTCTCCTCAAAATCTTCTCATTGTTTTATATTAAATATTATTTTAGGATCTAAACATTATTAAGCCTCTATCTTATTAGATTCAAGATCCTCAATATATTTCTTAAATGAAAAATTTGCTAAAAGACTTAAGATATCTTTAGTAAAGAAAATTAAACCTATTCATATAAAAGTCATAGATGGTCATTTTTTGTCTTTCACAGATAATATTCACAAAAACCTTCCTATAGAAATAATAACCAATAGTCATAATAGTTTTGTAGTATTTAATACCATTAAATCTCTCTCTAATCTAATTATTTTAGGCTTATTGTGGTTAAAAAAATACAATCCTTGAATAGATTGGATTTTTCATATTTTTAATTTTTCTAAAAATATAATTAAGAGTGTAATTAATTAAGTAAAAAATCACATATCTAATATAATTAAACATATGTTTGTAGATTCAAGAGCTTTTTAGCATGCTACAAAAGAAGAATCACCTTGTGTCATTTATGCCACACCTATTTCTAATGGTGCAAAGACTTCAAGTGGCATTCTAAGCTAATATCAAGAATTTTAAGATATATTTGAAAAAAAATATAAATATTCTTCCAGAATATCATTCTTATGATTACTCAATTAATCTTCAAGAAAAAACACAACCACCTTTTAAATCAATCTACAATTTATCACAAAATGATTTGGCTAAATTCAAAGAGTATATTAAAGAAAATCTAGCCAAGAACTTCATATGCCATTCTAAATCTCCAGAAAGAGCCTCAATTTCATTTGTGAAGAAAAAAGATGGATCATTGCAAATATGTATTGATTATCAAAGACTGTCAAGGACAAAGACTCGATAAGGGAAAATATACACAAAAAGACTATCTCGATATAATAAGTCAAAATATAAACAAGTAGGTATATTAAAAGGAAACTGGAATGGCTATTGCCACAAGACAAGAAACTAAAGACTCTTGAACCTGGACTAGAAGCAAGAAAGGAGTTGTCAAGAGTGAAGAAGCCTTCACTCTTGTCTCTATATATACTATCTAACTAGGGGCTACGTGGCGACGTTCTATAGGACCTCCAATATGTGTTGACTTTGTAGGACACATGCCTTGACTTACAAGGCAAGTTTTTCTACATGTGGGCCACATACTTAGCTTGATCTTCAAGCTAACAACATGTGTGGCACATGGCCAACTTGTTGACCACGTTTCTAATCCAAAAAATCAATTAAAGATACCTATGAAGTCAAAGCAGCTTCTAGGAAGTTTCTAGGAAGCTTCTATATTAAATATTATAGAATTAACTTACTTTTATTTACTTTTACTTACTTCTACCTATTTCTATATGTAATTATTAGCTTACATGATTATGGCCGTGACATTACCCCCCCTTCTAGAGACGAGTTCCACGAGGAGCGATCATCATATGTTGAGGAAATCTATGATGCGACGAATTGTATTCGCCACATACTCTGATCTCTATTCTCTTCGAAGATGATTGATAGGGCATCTCAACCATCGGTAGTATCCCATACCAGGGCGGGAAGACCACCCAGTTATTTGATCATTGTTGAGGCCTTCCTAACTTCCTTCGAATAGAATATTTGGAACACCATCAGGAGTTGTTCCTACCTCTAGCAAAATCACCAAACATCGGGAGTCCCTTCCCAAATCGTGATACCAAACGCGTTGTATCTCACCATCTATTCGAAGAAGAACATGTCGTTCTTGAAGATCTTCATCTCGATTGCATCATCTTGAAGGTTGTGACAATCGTAATGTCTCGTCCGGCAAGTCAGCAAACGAAGGTTCTTGAGTTGAATCTGTTGGTTGTTGGCTCTCCATCTAATTAGCGTCACAAATGCAAAGAAGTTACAAACAAGGATAGAAAATTGAATGTTATCTTGCCTCAATCTTGTCTCTTTTATAAGAGAGATTTTCATCTTGGTTTTGATGGATGTCGTTGATGAAAAACTTTGACTTTAGCTGATACATTTGCTAGATTCCTGGATGGCTCCCATGTGCGTTCACTAATATCATATCCGCGCCAATGAACAAGATATTCCAGCTTATTTCGACGTCGCCTTGAGTCTAATATCTCTTCCACCTCAAATTCTTCATTATTATCTACTTCTATAGGAGGCGGTGGCATTTGTCTTCTTCCTTGTATATCCACTGTCTTATATGGTTCAAGAAGACACACATGGAATATAGGATGGATCTTCATTGACTCCGGTAAATATAATCGATATGCAACTGGGTTGATCTGTTCAGAAACAGAAAAGGGGCCAAGCCTACGATAGTCCAACTTGTCA